CACCTACACCCACACACGCACGCATGCACGCGCTCGCATGCACAAACGTGCGCGCACACATCAAAAATCTAAGTGTAGTTAAATAACCAGGATATATTTATCATCAAACAACCCAACATGTCTATCTGTTTTGTTGACAAACTGTCTATCACGTACAGAGTGTTTCAGAAATGTGAGAAGGAAAGGGAATAATCAGGGGGAAAGAAGCGCCAAGTCATTACGACTATATAGCACTGGGAAGGGGATAAAGATTGTGGATGGGACGGAGGGAAGAAATGGTGCCCGACCCACTTGGACGGTCGGGGATTGAACACCGACCTGCATGAAGCGAGACCGTGTGCTCTACCATCCAGCCCAAGTGGTTGGGCATTAACCAAGAAATGTGAGAGAATATACTTATTTTATCTGGAGGAGATGCCCACTCCCACCACACACACACACACACACACACACACATTCCCGTTGCCACACGTTGTAACGTCACATCCCGGCCACCATCACCACCACATACAACCACCAATCACCACCACCACCATACTCACCTAGCATTGAAGGCGGATATCTCTGCGTAGTTCTGTACCGAGCCTTCCTCGACGATAAACCGCATCCTCTGGAAGAAGGAGGCGGTGACGGCGGGAGGCTGCTTCCTCAGAAGGATGTCGATGGGGTCGAATGAGGTGAGACAGAGATTGTCCTTGAGGCAGGCAGGCGTGGTGCAGCACTCTGCGTCGGCACAGTCAACCAGACCATCTGTACACACACGTATATATAAATATATATACCGTTATCAGCCTATATTAGTCCACTACGGGCTCACCATAGCCCGTGCTACTTTGAACTTGTTCAGAGCAGCTGAATCTATAACAACATCGTTATCAGCCCTTCCCATATGTAGTTCTCAGTGTATATATGCATTGAGTTGAGCGCCTAATGCAGCACTGGAGAAATGCCCGACATATCATGGAACATTATCTAACACAGTGTACAGTTACAAACCCAACAAGGTTTCAACTTAGATTCAACGTTGCGGCCTCAATCACTGGCAATCATTAGAAATTTTAAGGCTAAAACCTAACATGGCGCACCACCTTACAACCATAGTGACCGAGAGGCTGGACCTGATGTGGCAATTGTGTTGTAATTACCTAAGTGTAATTACAGGATGAGAGCTAAGCTCGTGGTGTCCCATCTTCCCAGTACTCTTTGTCGTATAACACTTTGAAACTACTGGCGGTTTTGACCTCCACCACCTTCTCACTTAACGTGTTCCAACCGTCTACCATTCTGTTTGCAAAAGAAAACTTTCTAATGTTTTTTTCGGCACTTGTTTCCTTAGCTTGTGTTTTGCACTGTGTGTGTGTGTGTGTGTGTGTGTGTATGTGTGTGTATGTGTGTATGTGTGTATATGTGTGTATGTATGTGTGTGTGTGTGTGTGTGTACTCACCTAATTGTACTCACCTAATTGTGCTTGCGGGGGTTGAGCTTTGGCTCTTTGGTCCCGCCTCTCAACTGTCAATCAACTGGTGTACAGATTCCTGAGCCTACTGGGCTCTATCATACCTACATTTGAAACTGTGTATGGAGTCAGCCTCCACCACATCACTTCCTAGTGCATTCCATTTATTAACTACTCTGACACTGAAAAAATTCTTTCTAACTCTCTGTGGCTCATCTGGGTACTAAGTTTCCACCTGTGTCCCCTTGTTCGTGTCCCACCCGTGCTGAAGAGTTTGTCTTTGTCCACCCTGTCAATTCCCCTGAGAATTTTGTAGGTGGTTATCATGTCTCCCCTTACTCTTCTGTTTCCAGGGATGTGAGGTTCAGCTCCTTTAGCCTTTCCTCGTAGCTCAATCCTCTCAGTTCCGGGACGAGCCTGGTGGCATACCGCTGAATCTTCTCTAACTTTGTCTTGTGTTTAACTAGGTATGGACTCCAGGCTGGAGCTGCATACTCCAGGATTGGTCTTACATAAGTGGTATACAGGGTTCTGAAAGATTCCTTACACACCCACACACACACATGTGTGTGTGTGTGTGTGTGTGTGTGTGTGTGTGTGTGTGTGTGTGTGTGTGTGTGTGTGTGTGTGTGTGTGTGTGTGTGTGTGTGTGTGAGAGGTTGGTTGCTTCGATACAACGATGAATGGATAGTTGGATAAAAAGGATATATGTATGAAAGTGCACGCGCATGTGTGTGTGTGTGTGTGTGTGTGTGTGTGTGTGTGTGTGTGTGTGTGTGTGTGTGTGTGTGTGTGTGTGTGTGTGTGTGTGTATTGAGTATTTACCAATTGTGGCTGAAGGATCGAGCAGTAAGCTATTGATTGAAACCTGAAGATTTACACTACGCCAGGATTTATCAAGTATTTACGCCAGTGACGAAACCTGTTCACCTTTCCTCAATCATGTCGGCGTCGTTTACCTTCCTGAAACAACTTATGAGCTCCATAGCACTACGAGGTTGTTCATAACAATAATAACCTTGGCTTGTGAAGTTTCGAAGACCACAAACAGTTTAATAAAGGCAAACAAAAGTCGTCATGATTAAGGAGAGTCGAACAAGCATATAGTTGCAAAAAGATGTGCAGGCGACGAGTCACAATAACGTGGCTGAAGTATGTTGACCAGACCACACACTAGAAGTTGAAGGGACGACGACGTTTCGGTCCGTCCCGGACCATTCTCAAGTCGACTTGAGAATGGTCCAGGACGGACCGAAACGTCGTCGTCCCTTCAACTTCTAGTGTGTGGTCTGGTCAACAAAGATGTGTAAATTGCCTTGATGCATCCTACCAGCCACAAATCGTTAAACAATTACGGGCTATTCATGCCCGTGCCACCTCTTGGGGTGGCTTAATCTTCATCAATTAATCAATCATCAATCAAGCTACCTCCGTCATTATCCTTGTTGTCGTCGCACTCCGTCTCGAGCTTGACGGAACAGTCGTGCGCCTCCCAGTCGTTGTGGCAGCGACACACCCATTCCTCCTTGACCATGACGCATGCGCCGTTCCCAGAGCAGTCGCTGGGGCAGCCGGCGAGGGTACAATGGCGCCCGTTCCATCCCGTCATGCATATACACGTGCCGTTCTTGCACTGACCGTGCTCCTCACACCTGGAATTACGTCAACAAAAGTCAGAGGATAGTGTTTCATTAGGGGATAGATAGCTAGGCTCTATTAACTATATCCGGTATAGATAGGTAGATAAATATGCTCCTATATCACAACGAGCAGTCAGGTTGACTGGTAGACCCGTGGACCGATAGACCCGTGGACCGGTAGACCCGTGGACCGATAGACCCGTGGACCAGTAGAACTCACAGTAAGGTCTGAGCGGAAAAGGCTGGCTAGTAATGCCATTAAATAGCACACAACTATCGCCCTTCCCATTTATCATTTACGATAGAAAACTTGCCGTGTACAACATCAGATTGTTGAAACATGCACTAAAGTGGCACTGTTTCACCCCCAGAGGGCTGGTGTTGTGACCGTGTCTATCACGACGTTTTTACTATGTACGCACGAATTATGCAACAGCTGACGAAACCTGTACATCTTTCCTCAATCACAGTGACTTTACATTTGTTAAAACGTTTTCTAAGCTCCGAAGCACAACGAGGTTGTATGATGACAATAATCAACCTGGGTTGTGAAGTTCCATAGGTTGTAAACGATTTAATGAATGTAAAAGTCAATATGATTAAGGAAAGATGTAGAGGTTTCGCAAGTTATTGGATAAATGCGTGTTCCCTTGCACTGTTTTGAACCATGTGTTAGGATTCCAAGAAGCAGATTTAGCGGTATGACATCCATCCCTCCTCCTCCTCCTCCTCCTTCTTTCATCCTCCTCGCTTAGCCAGCAACATTTCTAATTTCAGTTTTCGTATCTTGCAATACGAGGAAAAGTTTCAGTAGCATAAATTTGATTGGGGTCCGTCCCGTGAGCCGGGTTAAATTGACCGCGGCTGTTGCAGGACACAGGGAGCGCTTTCTCCACGAATTTATTTGTCCGGGAGAAGTGCATTTTGGCGGAAAACGGAACCGATTGAGAATACAGTTTTTAATCAGTTAGATGTGTGGGGTGAGGGATGGGACAGAGGGATGGGACAGACCAGCTGACTGCTGACTCTGCAAGCTGATGCATCAGTTCGGGAAGACGAAGGCAATGAAATCTTTATGGTGATATTACCTTAAAACCTTATTATAAATGTTGACCTGCTCCAGACACTGTATCACACTCCTCATGTGCCACAGTTACCATGCTCCAGACACTGTACCACACTCCTTATGTATCACAGTTACCATGCTCCAGACACTGTACCACACCCCATGTGCCACAGTTACCCTGCTCCAGACACTGTACCACACCCCATGTGAAACAGCTTACACTGTACCACACTCCCCATGTGCCACAGTTAGACACTGTACCACACTCCCCATGTGCCACAGTTACCATGCTCCAGACACTGTACCACACTCCCCATGTATCACAGTTACCATGCTCCAGACACTGTACCACACCCCATGTAACCCCATGTACCACACACCCCATGTGCCACAGTTACCATGCTCCAGACACTGTACCACACCCCATGTGCCACAGTTACCCTGCTCCAGACACTGTACCACACACCCCATGTGCCACAGTTACCATGCTCCAGACACTGTACCACACACTCCATGTGCCACAGTTACCATGCTCCAGACACTGTACCACACCCCATGTAACACAGTTACCCTGCTCCAGACACTGTACCACACACCCCATGTGCCACAGTTACCATGCTCCAGACACTGTACCACACACTCCATGTGCTACAGTTACCATGCTCCAGACACTGTACCACACCCCATGTAACACAGTTATCCTGCTAAACACGAGAGTATAATGACTTATAGTAGTCAGAGAGACTGAGTCGGAGGAATGAGAGTATTCTGCTTCCATTAATGGAAGAAGTCTAGTTAGACGAGTGTGAGACGGGAGGCCACTTGCGCACGAGACAGAAAGAAGGGCAGACAGACGTCCTGAGCAGAGTCAGACCTGGAGTTGTAGAGTGCAGGACTGGCCAAGCAACAGCCCTCTCCAACCCCCCAACTGCGGTGGAAGCACTCTGGCTACCTGTCACAGGTAAAGCACAGCACGCTGGCTATAGGAATCAAAAAAAGGGCGAGACGGAATGCGCAGGAATAAGAGGGAGAGAAGGGTTAGTGGAGGATGAATGCCAAGTAGGTGGAGGATGAATGCTAAGTGGGTGGAGGGCGGGCATGACAGTGACCAAAGAGGGGCAGGTGGAGGATGGACGTCAAGCGGGCGGTGGAGGGTGGGTATGGAGGAGCTCGTCCTCCACCCAACACCCTGATTAATGAGCTCCCAGAACATTCTATTGGAAAAGTTTGGCTGGAGAGAATCAGTTAGGAGGAGAACTTTACGGCACCAGAAAATCTTTTTAACCCGTTTTGTAAACGGGGCTAAAGGTTGTTTCTTAGCCCCCCCCCTCCTCCTCTGGGGGGAGACACTTCCCCTGGGGTACACTACTTCTCCCCAGGGTACACGTCTCCCCCCCCCCCTGGGCGAAGTTGTGTACCGTGGAGGGAGGACACAACGATACGGTCGAATCTCAAGTAGAATCTTTAAGTGTCTCTTGATGAGCAGAGATCAGAGTGTATGGGGGGGGGGTTCACCTGGAGTTTACCTGTACAGCACCTGTTAGTCGGACTCGAGAGTTCTGCCAAGCATGGTCTGGGGTCAGCTGGTGATCCACCATGACCTCTCTCCACACCACTATCACGGTAAACACTCCCCCCCTCCACCATCCACCACAACCATCCATCACAATCTTCACCACAACCATCCACCACAACCATCCACCACAATCTTCACCACAACCATCCACCACAATCTTCACCACAACCGACCACCACAATCAACCACCACAACCAACCACCACAATCTTCACCACAACCAACCACCACAATCTTCACCACAATCAACCACCACAACCTTCACCGCCGCCTTAGCCATCAATCACTTTACCAAAAACTAACTGAATATCAATATGACCCCGAGACAAATTGAAGTTTCTTAAGAATTTTCACCACTCGGGACTTCAATTTGTCACATTCGCTGCGACGCAGATTAAAATCATGAGACATATTTGTCATAATATTAAAACTTTGAGAGATTGATTACAGAGTTGTTGGCGAGGTCACTAAGCCTACGGCCCTATACACACACACACACACACACACACACACACACACACACACACACACACACACACACTTATATACACATAGAGTCTCGCGGCCGAGCGGTCAGCTTTCGGGATTCCCAGCCCACGGACTCGGGTTCGATTCCCGGCCGAGAGAGAAACAAGTGGGCAGTTTCACATATGCCTCTTTTTCAGCAGGCAGTAAATAGGTACCCGGGACATGACATAATCAACAGGAAGCAAAAGGACAACGATGAAAAAATGTATACAATAAAATGCAAATATTAAGTCTAAGCAAGTTTGCTTATTAGCAGAGAATGGGTGGCAATAACGGGGCAGCAAACAGCCAACCCACACACGAAATGAACGAGAAGTGTCAACATTTCGGTCCCTTCTGGACCAGTGTCAAGTGGTCCTGGATGGACCAAAACGTCGTGGCCATCATCTCAGATATGTGACTTGGGTTCACTTAGTTGCTGGTAGATAACACAGGTACAAACATAGAAGAAGAAGGGCAGTACACTGTGCTATCTTCTTCCCTTGCCAAGGTATATACACCTCCAGGGGATACCCGATCAACCAGGCTGTGATTCCTTCGTCAAACTCCGCGAACAGCGGCGTTTGTCAACCTAGTTGACCAGACCACCACCCAGGAGGCCCGGTCAGTCACCGGGCCGCGGGGACATTGATCCCCGAAACCATCACATGGCATGACACAAGGCAGGTACATAAATAAACAACTTTCCCCTAAGCCCGTCTTTATTATGTCTATAAAGCAAGTCAAACAAGGGAAAAAAAATCCAAGTCGGTGTCAACCTGCAAGTGAAGCAAGAAATTCCGGTGGAAGAAATACACCTTGTAAACACTCTTGTTAAAACAGTTATCAAAATCCCTGTTTCAAAGTGGTAGATTTGAGCCTTGCGGGCAGGTGTTGAGTAGTCTCGTTTAGGAGGGGGAGAGAGAGAGGGGGGGGGGGGGGGAAGGGAGAGAGGGGGGAGGGGATGTGGGGGGGGGGGGGGGGGGGAGGGGGGAACCTTCAAATTGTCGGGGAGGCTGACTTTGAGACCACCCAGCCAGCCAGCCAGCATACTTTTTAATTAAAACTTGAGGGACACGCTACGAAGGTCTTGTAGATGGGGGTGGGTGGGTGGGTGGAATATTTAATCCACGCCCATCCACGCCCACAACACACCCACACCCACACACACACCCCCAACCACACCCACAACACACACACATTATAGATGCACCTAACCACACCACAGCCACATATAGAACACACACACTGCAGAAAATCCAAAAACTTTCAAATACTTTTAGACGTTCTGCCGGACGTTAAAGAACGCGACAAATCCTAGAGGAACATTCTGAAACTCTTAAAAGACCCGACTCGAAATTACTGGAAATTAGTTTCCAGACACTACAAAACTATATCTGACTTATTATTACACCATAATTATTATTATTCCGGGAAAGCTCCCACCACAACCACAACACCACAGATGGTGAAAACCTTCACCCAAGTTCACCATAACATGCCACAACAGTGAGCTCACTCAAGACACTCATTCGTCGTGTGTGTGTGTGTGTGTGTGTGTGTGTGTGTGTGTGTGTGTGTGTGTGTGTGTGTGTGTGTGTGTGTGTGTGTGTGTGTACACTCACCTGGGATCACAGGTCATCAGGTTACAGCGGTCACCTGTCCATCCGGGGTTACAGAGGCACGCCCCGCCCTCACACCTGCCGTGGAACCCACAGTCCAGCCCACACACACCTGTCACCAGCCACCACACAAACACTTGTAATTACAACTCTTCAGTATCTATTCCAATCACACAGGTGTGTGAGCATATTAAATTACTGCACGTATAATATTATTATCAGTCACCATCATTATTACTGTGTAATACATTATTTTGACATTATATATAATTGTGAAAATATTTTGGCTGTAATTATTCAATAGAGGTTATATGACAAATTATTGGGTACAAAATTATAGAGGTTCACTGGGCGATGCTACAGGATAAAGAATTATCAAGGCCCACAGGGAGGTGCTACAGGATACAGGATTATCAAGGCCCACAGGGAGGTGCTACAGGATACAGGATTATCAAGGCCCACATGAAGGTGCTACAGGATACAGGATTATCAAGGCCCACAGGGAGGTGCTACAGGATACAGGATTATCAAGGCCCACAGGAAGGTGCTACAGGATACAGGATTATCAAGGCCCACAGGGAGGTGCTACAGGTACAGGATTATCAAGGCCCACAGGAAGGTGCTCTAGGATACAGGATTATCAAGGCCCACAGGAAGGTGCTCTAGGATACAGGATTATCAAGGCCCACAGGAAGGTGCTACAGGATTCAGGATTATCAAGGCCCATAGGAAGGTGCGCCAGGATACAGGATTATCAAGGCAGCCCGCAGAAAGTTGCTGTGGTGGAGGTACTCACGCTTGCTGCACTCTGAACCCGTCCACTCCGGCTCACAGATGCACTGGTTACTCTCCAGGTCGAAGTGTCCGTGTCCGTTGCAGTCTGGGAGGCACTGGAGGGCGGCGTCGTCCTTGCTGGCACAGTCAGGGCCCCGCCACCCTCGCTGACACACACACGTGCCGGACACGCACCAGCCGTGCCCCGAGCACGTAGGGTTCGGACAGTCGTCTGGTGACACGGAAGGAGATGGTTTGTTGATCAAGTGTTCGTATTGCATATTGCCTGTCTGTCTGTTCCTCTCGCGTATATGCTTGACTGTCTGTTATCGGTGTCTGTGTCTGTCTGCCCCTTTATCTCTATCTTAGTCTCTATCTGTCCATCTGTTTAGTTTTCTTCTTTACTCCCGGTCTTCCCCTTTATGCCTATGTATCTCTATCTAAGGTAATATGTAAATTATTTATAATATAAATATATATATATATATATATATATATATATATATATATATATATATATATATATATATATATATTATATTCATATATATATATATATATATATCCTTCAACAATATTCCCCCCCCCCCCTCAAGCTTATATGTCGACTTTAATAATTACACAAATAAAGCCCCAGGTTCGACCTCATGTATTACAAAAATGAAAATATACCAGGATAAAAAATTACGAAAAAAACACAAAACAAATATCCACGACACACTACACAGTAAGCTACCCATGATGAGTGTACCATATACCTTATATCAAGGTACCTGATACCACTCAATATAAGGGTACCTGATATCACTCCACGATAAGGGTATCTGGTCAACCTGTTCTCGTTATAACACGTCGCATTTTGACGTATTGTTTACCTAAGGCCAAAAACTGTCATTACTAGTAAATGGTGGCAGCTGGTGGGATTGACATAATATCCCGTTTTCTGTTCGTAGGGAGGACCTCTGGTAAGTTAAGGCGCTCTAGAATGACAATTTCTTGACGTTGGGAACGCTGACAACAGCACCTGGAACCCCGCATGCCTCTGATATGAAGATATCACAGTTAGATATCACAGTTTAGAAGATACCAGATACCAGAACTGACCTTCCTCGCAGAACTCGCCCTTGTAGCCCTTGGCGCAGCGGCAGCGCCCGTCCACACAATGTCCGTGACCGTTGCAATCAGGAACCTCACATTCATCATGACGGATGCTGCACTCCCGTCCCTTCCACCCCGGCCGACAGATGCACTCCCCATCACGGTACTCACCGTTCCCAGAGCACAGTACTGGGCACATCACTGACAGGGTGAGACAACACACAACGTTACTCTTCGCTACACTTTCATGTTTTGACAAGACATGACTACAAGAAAGACATACAGTGAATTAGTATTTAGACATAATTTAGTATTTAAGACATAATTTAGTATTTAGACATAATTTAGTATTTAAGACATAATTTAGTATTTAAATATAATTCAGTATTTAGACATAATTTAGTATTTAGACATAATTCAATATTTAGACATAATTTAGTATTTAAGACATAATTTTGCATTTAAATATAATTCAGTATTTAGACATAATTTAGTATTTAAACATCATTTAGTATTTAAGACATAATTTAGCATGCTTATATACCTATGCAAGATACTTTTCCCTCTCTCTCTCTCTCTCTCTCTTTCAACAGCCATATTATTACATTTCTACTTTTAGGCTCGGTTTAAAAGCGAAATGAAAGGACGTTGATCAAAATTATAATTTAGTACATAAGGTCGACCTGAAATTTTCAACACGGTTATCTTGAGGTTATCTTGAGTTGATTTCGGGGCTTTAGTGTCCCCGCGGCCCGGTCCTTGACCAGGCCTCCACCCCCAGGAAGCAGCCCGTGACAGCTGACTAACACCCAGGTACCTATTTACTGCTAGGTAACAGGGGCATTCAGGGTGAAAGAAACTTTGCCCATTTGTTTCTGCCTCGTGCGGGAATCGAACCCGCGCCACAGAATTACGAGTCCTGCGCGCTATCCACCAGGCTACGAGGCCCCTGTACGGTACACAAATTTGAGGGAAATAAATAGGTATAACGAACAAACAACAGTTTAACATATACAAGCTGATAAACCGTGAGAAAAATAAAATATTTTGAGCCAGTAATCAGTTACACGTAAAATAACAAGAAATATATTATTAAAACGTCATATTTAACCTGCGCTACAGAATGAAGAAAATGGCAAAGAAATGATAGCATGAAGCACCAGATTTATGTAGCGAGAAATGGTTAATGGAATTTAATGCAAAGAAGTGCATTATAATATAGGCCAGTGAGAGGGGGGGCAGACAAGCTGGGGAACATCTGGGCATGACACCAAAGTGGGTATGGATTCTGTTGTTCATAAATGATAAACACTGTTGCATCCGGGGGTAGACAGGAGAGGACGGGGCTGGTGACAGATCACAGCTGGTGGTAATACTAGCAACGGTGCTCTTAGTAGGTGAAGGTGTTCTGGAGACGGAATACTCTCAGACCGCCCCTCCTTCACCCCCCCCCCCACTTATCCCCCCCCCTCTACAGCTCCCCCCCCCTCTCCTCCAGCCCCCCCCCCCCACCACCTCCGAGGCACACGCTAACTCCAAAACTCGCCACATCGATGAAACTCTAAACACATCACAAGAATGTTTCACATTCCACTGAAAACTCAACTGTGAACGTAGAGAGGATAAAAAGAGAGGAGAAACACAATGAGAAGAGGAGGAGGAGGAGGAGAATAAACAATACGAGAAACAGATGAATGCACACGTAAGGTAATTATCAGGAGAAATCACCAAGCCAGTATGACTAGAGCAGGTGGAAAGGATACAAGGAGAGGAACTGAAGGCGTTCCTCTACCTAGGTAGGAAAGAAGAGGAGAGGGGAAGGTAATTGGTGGTAAGAGAAATGGGATGGAAGAATGTAAAGAGCAGTGTAGAAACGAAAGCGGAAACCTAGGGATGAGAAGATAAAAATAAGAAAAAAACTGAAGCAAGGGGGAGTATTGCGTAGTCACCAGGCTGGCCCTTGAGCGATAGCATCAGCATCACCCCTCGTCACTTTAAATATTAAAAAGTGACTTGACGAAACCCATGCAGTCATTGCATTTACACAATCTATAGAAACACTGCTTTCATGCAACAATGCAGGTCGGCGTTCAATCCCCGACCGTCCAAGTGATTGGGGCACCATTCCTTCCCCCCTCCCGTTCTATCCCACATCCTTATCCTGATCCTTTCCCAGTGCTATATAGTCGTAATGGCTTGGCGCTTTCCCTTGATAATTCCTTCCTTCAGTCTCTTGTAGTACTGGACCACTAGGGTACAGTCATGGATGGACTGGAAGACCAGCTGGTTCTGAGTTCTCGTAAGGAATTGGGTGATTGAAGGTCATTACAGCCACTTGATCCGCTCGGCTTTATCTTCGTATCATCTGAGAGTCGTAGCAGCAGCTTGAAAGACAACACACAAGAAAAAGGAACTGCAGCATAGCTGAATAACAAAGGCCTTAACACGAAGTCCAAGGAAGGAGAGAGAGAGAGAGGCCTGCCTTCTGTGGCACTTGGCAGGTGCCCTCCAGAAGAGAGATGGAAGGGGCGGCAGAGCATGAGGGTGTTGGTGGGAGGGGGAGATGAGCAGGAAAGGGAGGAGAGGAGGGAGGGCGGAGGGGCGAGGCAGTGGCGCGGAACAGGTAAGACGTGTGAGGGCGGAGCGTGGGAGGTGGGAGATGACTGTGGCTCACACCCTCTATCCACATATCCGCCCACACATCCACCCTTTCCCTTCTAGCCTCCCCTGCCCCCCTTTACTTTCCGCCCCTCTCACTCACCTCTCTCTTCCATCTCGACCCCATCCCACCCCCGTCAACCCACTCGCTGCCCCAGCCGCCCACCCACCCGCCCGGCCTGTCTGCCCGCGACGGGCTCACCAAAGGCGGGTGTCTGGTGCTGCGGGCACCTCCTGGTGGTGATGGCGGCACTGTCTGCTGCTGCTGCTGCTGCTGGTGGGGGAGGAGGGGGGGGGATACACCGCGCGCAGAGACATACACCGCGCGGACACCAGGACATACACCGCGCGGACACCAGGACATACACCGCGCGGACACCAGGACAAACACCATGTGGACACCAGGACATACACCGTGTGGACACCAGGACATACACCGTGTGGACACCAGGACATACACCGTGTGGACACCAGGACACACACCGTGTGGACACCAGGACATACACTGTGTGAAAACCAGGACATACACTGTGTGGACACCAGGACATACACTGTGTGGACACCAGGACATACACCGTGTGGACACCAGGACAAACACCGTGTGGACACCAGGACATACACCGTGTGGACACCAGGACACACACCGTGTGGACACCAGGACATACACCGTGTGGACACCAGGACATACACTGTGTGGACACCAGGACATACACCGTGTGGACACCAGGACACACACCGGGACATACACCGCGTGGACACCAGGACATACACCGTGTGGACACCAGGACATACACCGTGTGGACACCAGGACATACACCGTGTGGACACCAGGACAAACACCGTGTGGACACCAGGACATACACCGTGTGGACACCAGGACACACACCGTGTGGACACCAGGACATACACCGTGTGGACACCAGGACATACACTGTGTGGACACCAGGACATACACCGTGTGGACACCAGGACACACATCGTGTGGACACCAGGACATACACCGCGTGGACACCAGGACATACACCGTGTGGACACCAGGACATACACCGCGCGGACACCAGGACAAACACCGTGTGGACACCAGGACAAACACCGTGTGGACACCAGGACAAACACCGTGTGGACACCAAGACATACACCGCGCGGACACCAGGACATACACCGCGCGGACACCAGGACATACACCGCGCGGACACCAGGACAAACACCGTGTGGACACCAGGACAAACACCGTGTGGACACCAAGACATACACCGTGTGGACACCAGGACATACACCGTGTGGACACCAAGACACACACCGCGTGGACACCAGGACATACACTGTGTGGACACCAAGACACACACCGCACGGACACCAGGACATACACCGCGCGGACATCAGGACATACACCGTGTGGACACCAAGACACACACCGCGCGGACACCAGGACATACACCGCGTGGACACCAGGACATACACTGTGTGGACACCAAGACACACACCGCGCGGACACCAGGACATACACCGCGCGGACACCAGGACATACACTGTGTGGACACCAAGACACACACCGCGCGGACACCAGGACATACACCGCGCGGACACCAGGACATACACCGCGCGGACACCAGGACATACACCGCGTGGACACCAGGACATACACCGTGCGGACACCAGGACATACACCGCGCGGACACCAGGACATACACCGTGCGGACACCAGGAAATAATATCTTCCTCTCAGGGACACGTAACTCACCAGGGTAATGGTAATCAGTGGTAATAAAGGTAATTATGACGGAATTATTGGGCAGGAGAAGAGCAATTAGCGAAGTAGTTAAAGAGACCATATTGTGGCTTGAGTAATTAGCAGATGGTAATTAGCTGACGAGAGGCTTTCCAGCAGGCCCTGTAGGTGATAGATGTGCTAATTCAATTATTGGAGGCTCTGAGCCTAATTATCCATGATAAAATAGGCCATTAGTAGAGCAAAAAAACACGTATATGACAGGAACAAAATGTGGTTTTAACCGAGTACCTATAATATGAGGTGTTATAGGGAACGAGGCAGCAGGTGAACGGTCCCAACCCGCCTCCACCACCAACTTGTGTAGCAGTTCACCGAACAACTCCTGCCCAACAACAAGTTCTGATCGTTGATGATTAAGAGTTATTCCCAGAACGTCAAATCTATTGCTGTGATGAGTACAGGAGGGGGGGAGTGTAATCAACAGCCTCATCGATCAAATCATCGCAGGAGAAGCCTGGCTCCAAGCCGAGCTTGGCGAGTAGAACTCTTCACAACTCACAACAGGTAAACCACAGAATCACAACAGAATACAACCCTTCAACACGAAGATCCTGAACACAAAATCTAGCAGTGACTCCAATCAGGGAACTGAACAACGTGACAGATAGACAACAGATATCCGGCTTGTCATGAGAGCTCCACCATCTAAACTCCCCACCTTACCTTGAGGTGTTTTCGGAGCTTAGCGTCCCCGCGGCCCGGTCGTCGACTAGGCCGTCGAACCCACACCACCACACCCAGCACACACGACGACCCTACAAACG